GCCCTCTAGCCTGGGGGGGAGCGGCACCGAGTACCAGATGAGGGGCCTCCCGCAGTGCGGGCGGGGCTGTAGGAGGCGAGGCTGCGGACTGCAGCATGCAGACCGGTTCGGGTTTTTTTGGTTTGTTTGTTTTTATTTTACTTATTTATGTTATTTTTCGCATCCACAAGTGGCAGTATTTCTTTTCGTTGACTGCTTTGATTCGGTGTGTCCTTTTTAAAAAGACTGGCTCCACCTGTTTAGTAGTTTCTTTTTGAAATATCTTTAAAAGTGCTTTGCTAGGAAAATCCCTGTTTGCTCACGTTGGCAAGTGGTGGTGGAGAAATTCAGAACTGCTGCTCAAACCGATGGTGTGTGAGTACTGGCAGATTGACACTGTCAGCAAGTATTAGTAACTACACAGCATGAGTTTAGATACTTCCACATTATCTATTTTAACCAAGAAGTTTGATACTGAACTAGAGTTTTGACCCTTACAGACTGTTTTTTGTTTTGTTTGGGTTTTTTTTTGGTTTTTTTTTGGTTTTTTTTTTAGCTTTAGCACAACTTCCCATAGCTGTAGCAGCTATAAATAGTTCTACTTTGTTTACATGTTTGTCCTAATGTTTAATTTTCTTGCAGAATTTTTGTCTTGTGAGCACAAGATCAGGGTACAATTTCAGTACTTCTGTTTATGTGAATAATTTTCTTTTCTTTGTTTTGGAAGCTATTTTCTGACAGCTATGAAGTGTTTGTTGGTTTTTGATTTTGACCATACAATCATAGATGAAAATAGTGATACCTGGATTGTGAAATGCGCTCCTGAGAAAAAACTCCCTAATGGATTAAGAAACTCCTACCAACCAGGACACTGGACAGAATATATGGGCAGAGTCTTTGTCTACTTGGGAGACAATGGTGTCAAAGAAGAGGAGATGAAAAGAACTATGACAACAATTCCTTTCACTGCGGGCATGATAGATCTTCTGGGGTTTATTGGCGAGAACAAAGAGCTGTTTGACTGCATAATTGTTTCAGATTCTAATACAATGTTTATTGACTGGATTTTGAAAGCTGCTGCCATCCATAGGGTATTTGATGAAGTGTTTACAAACCCTGCAGCATTCAGCAGCACTGGCTATCTTACCGTACAGAACTTCCATGCTCACCATTGTGCAAAGTGCCCTAAAAACCTTTGCAAAAGGAAGGTTTTAAAAGAATTTCTAGATAAACAGTTGGAGCAAGGCGTAAGTTATACACGAATTGTATATATAGGTGATGGTGGGAATGACTTATGTCCAGTGATGTATTTGAAGAAGGATGATATTGCAATGCCCAGGCAGGGGTATACCTTGGAGAAAAAGATTTCCCAACTTGCCCGAGATCTCAGTCCTGTGGAGTGCTCTGTTCTGGTTTGGTCATCTGCTACTGACATTCTGTATTACCTGAAACTGCTTATAAAGGAATGATTCAAACAACAAAAGGAAATTAATCTAGTTATGTCTTACCTTCCTGGGAGGGAAAAACTGTATGTGTATAAAAGCACAAAATTGTAAATTTGGCTGTTATCTGAACTTAGATTTTTTTTAAACACAATGTAAGACTGTTGATGTTCAATCTTGGCAATAGTGAGAAAGTGCAGTTAAAGTGGCTTTCTAATGTACCTACGTAACTGACCTTTTCTGGTCCATGAGTTTAGGGGAAGGAGTCAGATTAGTGCACAGAAGAATTAAATTCATCACTCAGAAAACCTCAGGTGCCAGGAGCATGGTTCTGGGACTTTTGGCTTTTGTACTTCTTTGATCAGGATAAATGTTTAAATTTGTAAATTATTTGCTATGGCTGTAATCTTCTTTGAACTGAGGATGCATATATATTTTCAATATACTAAATATTTTTACCAAACAAAATTACTTATAGTTTGTATTACCTTGTATTGTAAAGACAATAAAAGTTACTGTCACTGACAAAAGCCACACACCAGATTTGTGTTATGTGTTCTGCTGGCATTTGTGTTATCAGGCACCTTTTCTTGAAAGGACTTGGAGGGAATGAAAACAAGTGTAGGTGTCAGCCTTTGGTGAACACCATTTGTTTTGTCAGTCAGAACTCTTTTGGAGAGCAGCAAGGACATTGCTGGTCTGCTTAAAGAAAAGTCACTCTTGGATTCTGTTGACTGCTGCCCTGACAGTGTGTTGCTGCCACTTGTTCTGCCAATGACCATGCCCAACAAGAATGATACAGCCAGCAGGAAGATGAACCAATACACAGACTGTATTGTAAGCAAAAAGGACATTCCATGAATGATCGCTGGGGGGACAAACAGATCAATCAGCTGGTACATAATTGATGCCACCCCCAACAATCCCACAGATGACACGACTCGGCCCACAACCGGTGGTACAAACAGAGACCCAAGGTTGCCCACAGTTGGCATGGGAAACAGCCAGACCAGCAAGCTGAACACATAAGAGAAAGGTGCCCACATGGCAACTCTCACCCGATCAGCCCGCGTGCGCAAAGGGCTTGAGCAGACTGGGGCCCAGCTCCAGGGAGAGTCAGGAGGGCTGCCCTGAACCAGGAAGCTCTGTGGCGTGCACTCCACAGACAGACACTCCTGACTCCCTGCAAGTGGTCCCAGCTTTTATCCCCAAGCAGACACCTGACCTTTGTCAACTCAATGCGGGACCCCTGGGGCTCATTTCCCTTATGGCTCTCCCTGCAGGGCCGGCCGCACCCTGGGGGGAAGCTATAAGGCAAACTCACCACCTCTTGATGAAGGGCTGTGGGAATCACCCCTATGTCAACCTTAATTCGGGGACTCAGGGTTCAGACCCCAGCATTTCACCACTCAGTGTAAGAGCTGCTGTGGGCCTGATCTTCTCTGCTGACAGCCCCGAGTCAGGCAGGTGCTTCTTTCTCAGCAGGCTTCTGCTGCAGGCACAGGCCCACAGAACAGCACACATGTACTCATGTTTGCACTGAGTTCACCTGTTCACTCTTGTCCATGTCTATAGTATAATCCTTTCTTACAGTCTGGAAGGGAACATCTATGTCTGTTTTAAGTTTGTAACAGATTTGTTCTGTCTTTAAATAGTTTAAGGAGTCGATTGTGAGCACACAGTCTTTCTCTTCACCACTCGCAGTGAGATGAGCCCAGAGCTGGGCTATGCATGCAGAGATATTAAAAATAAGTCACATTAAAGTTAAATGATGTATTTTCCTAGAGTTGCACAAAAGGTCCAAAATGCTGATATAGTCTGCTAATGAACTGATGTCTGCTTTAGCTCAAGTGCTTTAATAATGGAGAAATCAGTCCAGCTGCTGTAGCACTTCCTTTGCAGATGTCTTGAGGTATAGCTCAGTAGCCTGTGATTGCTTGATTGCTGCAGAGATCTTCCACTGTTTTTGTTTTGTTTTGTTTTGTTTTGTTTTGTTTGTGCAGCATTGTTCTCACTTTCTCACCAACGCTTGATGTCACTACCTTTTTCTGAGTTGAAGATTTTTAGGAGTGGTCTTGCCTGTTTTCAGGTTGATAGTCTATATAAATTAAGATTTCCTTTGAGTATTTCTTTGAAAATGGTCATGCTTTTAGTCCTTCACCTATTTTAATGAATTGTAGAAAGTGGCTTTGAACAGTCTGTTATTGGAGATGCCCAGAGTAATTTACTTGAGTTCTCAGGAGCATTGCTTTAATGATGAATATCTGATAGGTGGCTGAGATGTTTGTATTAGAGATCTTACCCTGTTGTCTTGTGCAGAGGCATGAAGACAGCATGTGAAGAACTGGTGGGTCTCAGCTTGTGGCAGGTTTAAGTTGTCTGATTTACAGCTCATACAAAAGAATGGTAATGGCTGTTGCAGAATACCAGTTTGTATGGTTACCTTTTTAAAAAAAGAGTTGTGTATCTCCTTGTTCTGATTTAAACCCAGCTGGCAGGTTAGCACCATGCAGCTGCTCACAGGGGAAGGAGAATTGGGGGGTTGGGGGGGGGGGGAGAGGGGAGTAAAACCGATGAATTGAGATAAGAATAGTAAGAATAGTTTAATAAATAGAGAGACAGTTAAAGCCCAGGAAAGACAGGTGATGCACAGTGCAAGAGAGGGGAGTAAAACCGATGAATTGAGATAAGAATAGTAAGAATAGTTTAATAAATAGAGAGACAGTTAAAGCCCAGGAAAGACAGGTGATGCACAGTGCAATGGGTCACCACTGAGTCCCTGGGCAGTGATTGGCCCCTCCTGGCCAACTGACCCCAGTTGGAGTTGGGAGTAGATTAAGCAAAGTAGGCTACTTGAAATAATAGCAATTATGATCTAATCACTTCAAGTAGAAGGCAGAGCTGATGCTATTTGTCAGACAAAGTATATGGTGGAGACAGAAGAAAATTTTTCAATTCCAGTAGGTAGGCCATTGAGATATTAATATAAGATCTTGGGTATTTTTTCTTCTTAATAGAAGAGAGAACTTTTCTGAAGCACCATGATTACCAATGCTTTCCACATTTGAGTATAAGAGAGGGGAGATGAGTATCTCCAAAGGGTGAAGCTGTTTTAAGACAGCAGCCCACACAAAAGAGAAAGGGAGAAGCTCCTTGAAGGTGTGCAGAAAATGCCGTTGCCAGAGGTCAATGTTCCAATAGGAGACAGAGGAATCCTGTAAAATATACTTTATTTGAATAAAGGGAGAGTCCACGGGCAGATCCCGGTGGGGTCTCTCAGTTTTGCTGAGGACGCAGCTCCCTCTTTATCCTAATTTCCCGGCTGCAAGTTTCCCTCCTCCTTCCCCCATTGGCTGAGGTACTCAGAGTGTACAGACTGCCCGGTACGCCTACTGCATATCTCCCTCAACATGTACCCCCCTTCTCATCATACATCCCATGTCTCATTAACTTCATTTTATGCCTCCCCTGGGAGGAGAAGGTACTATGTATAAGTTTATTTTACTAGTTCCTAAAGTTCAGAGGTTTAGGCTATGTAAATTTCTTGAGGTAGATAATCTAAGTTTGTTTAAATTCATTCAAGTCCTCAGGTTCTTCTTGCTTGGTTCTTTTTGTATGGCCAGACTATCATCTTGGAGCACTGGTGATTGCACATCTCCTCATAGTGTTTTCCCCCACTCCCTGCTGTGAAGACACATTCCCCACTTTATCCTATCAAAGGGATGCATGATGAGTACTAAGTGTTGCTGACCTCCAGACTTGCTCCCTGGGGGGATGACTTAGGTAAAGGTGTTACAGAAAGAAATGCGTAATGGAAGGTGTATGTGTGTATAGGAAATTTCCTATATGGTAACAAGTCTTCTCTTGTACACCAGTTACTGTGAAAAGTACTTAGCCATCGTATATGTGCTACTGGGATTGCCAGGACCTGGGAGAAGTTCCTGCTTGTCCCTAGGCAGCTGATGAAATGGGAACTGCAAAACCACAGCAAAACAAAGTTGTTGGTATGGGGATACATTAACAGAGTCAAGGCTAGAGAAAGGAATGCTCCAGAGAAAGATACTGAGTGAGTGATGTAGCTGAGGGACAGGCCCTCAGAGGCAGTAGGGCTGCTGCTGATTCCTGGGTTACTCCACAAAACTGCTGTCCTGCACTAACAGTGCATCAGAAGTTGTTGAAAAACCAAAAGCAAAGATACATGAAGGGTTTGGCTTTTGTTTGGTTCAGCTTATTTATGTCTTGTGTAACTATATAAAGGCCGAGGGCAAGTATGAGTCCTGTTGCACGTGAGGAAGGGTGGCAGAGCAGTATGTCCACACTTCCCAGTTCAGATTCCTTCTTGAGTTCACAATTCTGGTGGACATCACAGAGAAAGTGCCACCGTTAATGAAAAGGAAAAAAAAATAAAAGTTTTTTGATCTGTGTAGAGCAGAAGCTTTCCTAATTTTTCCTTTAGTATCACTGGCACTTAGCTAATAATAACAAATATCTGATTCCTTTGGGTAGGAGAAACCACAGCCAGGCCTTTCAGTCCAGGAGTGCTCTGGCAGGGTCGGGGCTGTGGGGACTGCCTGCTGCATCCAGAGCATCCAAATCCAGCTGCAGGTAAAGGAGGGAGCACAGCTGCCCAATCCCAGAGGACGCTGTGCTTAAGTACTTTTAAGGTCTCCATTGCAGAATAGGTTTTTTTAGCAAAGAAGATGTGAGAAATAATTTAGCACAAAACCAGATTCCAATTAACTTTAAAATTTATTAGACGAAAAAAGGCAAGCAAACAGTGCTGGGTGCGCCCGGAGACTGCTCAGCCAAGACGCACACCATACAGCCCCTGTCTGCGGCTTTTATTGTCCCTGCTAATACGTATCCATTAACAGGTGGGTCTATCTAAATTAACTCCAAAAATAGGTAGGTCTTCTTTGAAGCATGTTCTTTTCACCTCTTGGGGTCGACTTCGCTCCCACCTGGTGGTCGCTGGATGTAGTTAATAATCTTCCTCGGCTCCCCGTTTAAGGACTTCAGGCTCCATG